TGTTCTTCGTAGCTTCTCTTGTTTTTCACCTACATTTGCGGCTTAGTTTAATAACATTTTGCAAGTACACGGGGGTCGTTTGGTATAAGGGATAAGATGGAATAAGATGTGAGATTAAATTTATACTGTGTTTGGTTGGCGGTAAATTATTTTATCCCATCTCTCATGTAGTATAAATTAGTCCTGAGATTATAATCCCAGGATTAAAATCCTGAAATAATTTAGTCTACGTACCAAACGACTCCACAGAGTATACGAGAACCTTGCATTAAGTCATCAGGTTAACGCAATCGCTTGATAGCTCGTAGAAGAGTAATTTCAGATTGCTAGCGGCAGCAATTGGCAACACATAAAAAAGACGGTCGAACATCCCTAGTCTCCATCCACGCTGGCTCAACATTTGAGAACACCAAACCAGACACTCAAGTATGGGAAGGCAAGCACAAGAAGCAAATTGTGGACAACCAAAATTTATTTCTACCATTTACAACTACCGATAACATTACACTGATTAGGGCATATAGCAAGAGGGCTAGCTTTGCATTCAGTTCTACCCATCATCATAAACAAGGGAAATTTGGATTGGTGCAAATTAAAGAAAAAATTTCGACAAGCTAAAAAGTTTGTACATTCAACTAGACTTGCTGCTCTGCTAGTATAACAGAAATATGGCGAGGAAGCTTGTGTATGTACAAATTCCAAAGTTGGAAATGCTTCCTCAGTACTCTGTCCAGCTACACAAACATATGTACATGAATTTTAGACCTGCAAACACAACAAGAAACACTTAAAAGGCTTTTTTCAAAAGCAACTGCCACTTCAGAGAAGGCCGCTCCACCTTAAAACTCACAATAGAGGCATAAGGCCAGTTTGTGGAACACAACTGCGTGTAGGACTATTAATTGAATCAACATTGAGTTCAGCAACAGATAACAAGATGCATTACAAAGTGTAACCTAACCCCCCTATGAAGGGCTAGAATTTGTATACGGCAATTTTGACAATAACTCTAAAAAGTTCTCACCAACCTTAACAACAATGGTGGAGAAGCAGTTACTTTAACCATTCATGCTTGNAGTGGTGGAGAAGCAGTTACTTTAACCATTCATGCTTGCAGTTAATCTTCCTCGTTGTCAGACTGGTTCACCTTTTTGGACATACTATCATTCTCTGTCACGGCATTGTCTGTCACAGAGAAGAAAAAAGAAAAACAGAGACAATGAGAGAGCATACTTGAGCAAACGATCCCCAACTGTAACAAAAATAATACTTGAACGTACAAGAGTCCTTAAGTTCATGAAGATAACACTTGCAAAAATTTTGAACATTCGAGATAGACAACCATTGCCTTATGCTTACATTGTCATGAATAAATTAACCACAGACATCGAATAAGCAAGAGTTAAAACAACTTTGCACAACAGAAACATGAGAAATGAAATACTATATCATATCTTTTGGTAAGCAACGTCCTTTCATTATTTTAAGTGGAATGTATCAGATTGCCCACTCTCATAGCAGGTACTAATAGGAAAGTCTAAACTTCTTAGAGATGTATTGGGCCATTTACTCAATAAGGAAAAAAAGAAGAAAGGAATTTTACAATACTTATTAGCTAAAGTAATGTGTACATCCAATTTGAGTCCCGTGGCTTTGGTCTAGTAGTAAGAGGACAACACATGATATAGGTGAGCGCAACACATGATATAGGTGCAATTCACAGGTTTGAACCTGCACAAAAGTCTAGTATAGGTTTTCATCAATCCTGCAATACTTGCAAAACTTCAATAAATAGGAAAATATATTTAGTTTTCCTTTCACGAACGCACATATCCTTCCCCATTAATTAAAATAAATAAAGCAAAAGACTGAGTTATCTGTTCCTACCATCTAGATTTGTCGAATTCCATATCGATGTAATCAAATATCAAAGCCGACGATATATTCAATTGTTGCTATTAATGCAAGGCTTTGCTAGAACAATTCATCAAAACATACATTATGAAAAACGGAGGAAAGCAAAATAATTAAGTACCATTATTAAGATAAAAAGTAGAGGAAGGCCAGCCGCGGAATGTAGCGAGAGACATAGTTTCCTCTTCGGATAGCGTATTGGAGAGTTTATGAACGAGGTCAGCTATACCATAGGAGCTTCGTCGAGGTGGGACCCAATAAGAAGCACCAGGACAGAAAGGAAGCCAATCGGGAGCCGATCTCCGTACTATGATACGATGAATAGCGTCCTCGATCCTCTGCACCGCCACAGCCTCCGCCTCCGATGTGTCAGATGCCACGTGTCTATCCGGCTGAGTGGATTCGCACCTACAAGCTACGAGGCGAACAGCATCCCGGCGGCTAGCTGTGGATGGGGCGGTGGTGGTTCGGATCAGATTTAGGGCTTGAGCAATGGAACGGGCCATGATATACGAGAAATTACAAGGCAATCGGGGAAAAACACTTATAAATATACAGATAAGGAAGGAGTAGATCTCACTTTTGGAGAGGAGGCGGATGACTCGATGAAGGAAAAGGGCTCCGGGCAATTTATCAGAATTCAGAGCTAAAGTTTGGCGGTGCGGGTGGCGGTTTACGGTTACAATCCACAAAAATTGTTTGGGCTGGGCTCATCTACATTTCTTGGCCCATATCCTTCCTCGAATGGAAATTGTAATGACATAATTGACAAATAATATGATGGTTGTTAGTTGTTATATTGTATCATATTTTTTACTTTAAATATAATATTTATTTCAATTCTATTGTACCGTATCGTTAAATTCGTTGTTACATAACAATGAAAAATATCATTTTATGGAACGACCGATTTGGTGTGGCCATGTCGTTATCTTATCTTTTTCTCTTATCTTGACCTTATGTATTATTAAATAATCCTATTTTATCCTTTACTATACCATTTAATATCCTAATTATACCTCGTAACTTACTTTTACTTTATAATATTGTAATTTTGTTCTCCATATTGTTGGTGCATGACATCGTAAAATGACTGTAAATAATACAATCTATCCAAACATTATATACGTCAAAACGATACAGTACAATACAATACAATACAATACAAAACGATACATTATGAAACGATACATAACAACCATCAAACAAGTTGTTAGTGTGTATACTTTTATTGGTTGATGTTTAATTTATTGAACAATAAGTGAATATAAAAAATACAATAAATATTTATTTAACTTATACTAGATAAACTTGGACAAATTTTTATTTTATTTTAAATTTGAAACTTTGGAAAATGGCAAATGTGCCATTTTATTCTTTTATGTTACAACTCATAGTCACGTACGTTAGTTCATGCTATAAGGTGTTGACGTAAATCAATGAAGATATTATCTTTAAGATGATAAGAAGTTAATCTTGTTGCTCTTAAATGATACAAGGGTGAATAAGGGTAGTTAATAAGTATTAGAAGTTAAACGAATTGAGTATGTTGTAACCCGTATTTTCGGGTAAACCTTGAGATTCTTATTATACTCAAAATGACGTGTTTTAAGGTATTTGAATCATATAATATTCGTATCATAAGTCTTGAAGTCAAAAGTTGTCGTAACTTAGGTTCATAGTTTTACTTAAACTTTAGGTCAAATTTTACTATGCTTTTATCCCAATGTACTTGGAATTAAGGGGTGATTTACCCACCAAATTGAAGATCTATGAGTCTAGTTTCCAACGCATTAAATCGTTTGTCGATATGATCTCAGAGTAGAGAGATATTTGCATTTTACGAGACTGCGCCAAACAGCTCTCTATGGGGCCCACATAGGCGGTTTAAGACATATGGGTATATATAAGATGCCTCAACCCCATTTTAAGTCATTATTTTTCAGTGTATTCAGACCTTAAAACTCTGAAAACACACTCTTAAGTTTCTCTCGTGATCCAAGACCCAAACAAGGGGCAAACAATACAAATCAAGTGTCGGGAATCCTGTGGCGCTAGTAAGTTTCTTGTTCTTCTTGTTATTGCGCATTTTTGTGTTGTTCCAGCTCGTGTGAGAGGTCGTTTTAAGTGGTTTATATTCTATAAATACTCCCTCAGGTTTTTATATCAACCCTAGGTGATTTCAAGTCTTCTAAAGTGATTCTAGTGCTGAAAACCTCTAATTGATTGCTAGTTTCGCTTCCTTGTTCTTGTGGCAGCATTGGAGGGATATTTTCGTGGACAATTAAGGTCAAATTGGAGTTGTTTTTTCTGTTTAATGGTAAGGAACCTCTTACTCAACATGTATTTAAGATTATCTAAGTTGCGGTTAAGTCATTGAAGCTAAAACTTGTGAAATATATATCGAAAGTCTTGGTAGTAATGTGTTGGTTGGTGAATTGTGATTATTATTTATGTTGTTTGGGATGTTTTGTGATTGTTTTGACTTGTGGGAAATTGTATAAATAGTGTAGGTGTTGTACGTTTTATAGTAAAATAGGTTACGGTCGATACATAATAGTTACAACGCTTAAACGGTAATGATATTGTCATTTCTCCTATTGTAGACTAAGGAGTCATGACATTTTCATAGCTTGAGTTGGGAAATATATACAAGGTATGTGAGGATATCCCTTTCCTTCTTTTACATTACTCTGATTGTACATAATGTAATGAACGAGCTTCTAACGATACTCTACTCTTAGAAGCTAGCAATATACTTACATTGTTTCCCTTCTTATGGAACGATTGATGTTGATGTTGCTTCTCTTTTTCTTATGTTATCAACGTTGTTGGTACTTCCTGATTCTTACAAGATTCATGATGAAGAGTTAGTCCCAATAACATGTAAAGAGGATACCGATCTTACATCATTTCGAAAGGTTCAGAATATTATTCCAATGAGTCCAGCATGCATTATATGTATGTATCTATTTTACTCTATCAAGTCGCACTATAGTCGGTTACGACACCTATTGTGCAACCACTGATCAGTTGAGTTTTACCGAGCTCCATGTGGCCGGATACAATTCTACCGAGTCTTATGATAGCTGGGTACGTTTTTACCGAGCCTATTACATCCAAGTACGATATGATGATGATGCCCACAGAAGCGTATGTTTTAAAAGTTTATGTATATATATGTTTGTATCATGCATTTTATGTCAGTAGGCCTCAGAGGTACCCAGGTGTTACAAGTTGTATATTCTCTATCCCTGTTTACATTACTCTTCTTACTTATGCTTTCATGCTTTATATACTCAGTACTTTATTCGTACTGACATTCTTTTTATTTATGGATGCTGCATGTCGTGCTGCAAGTCCTAATAGAGGGGTATACATAGCTCCCCCACCACATTAGGCTGCTCAGCTCAGCATTTATTGGCGAGATCCTTTCTCCGGACTTGCCGCGGTCTTGGTATGCATTTTTGTTATAGACATTGTAGGTATGTCGGGGCCCTGTTTCGACAATGTTGCAACACTTATATTTCATTAGAGGCTCATAGACAGGTGTCGACTTATGTATGGTTTGGAATCCCTTGTCGATTGATTTTTTGTTATATTGTCTTTCATGGCAGCGTGGTAGCTCATACCTTATATATAGTTTCTTGACATTCTTGTCATCCCATACTATGTATGTTTATGTCATTATCTTTCATTGTTGGTTATTCATGATCCATGTCTACCATTTATATTAATCTCGCTAGCCCTTAAAGATAATAGGGAAGGTTAGATAAAATGTACGTTGGTGCTTGGCAAATATGTCCCGAGTGTTAGTCACGACTCTCCAGCTTGGGTCGTGACAAAATTGGTATAAGAACAAGTCTGTTTAAGAGGTTGTCTATGAGCCGTGTCTAGTAGAGTCTCGATTATGGATGTGTAGCGCACCACATTTATAATCAGGAGGCTACATGACTAGGGTTGTTACCTTCTTCCTGAATCTAGATCGTGCGTAGAGTTAAGTCGTAAGTGTTCGTCTCTAATATTCACCTTGTTTTCTTTCAGCAATGCCTTCGACTAAGAAGAAAGCGATTAGTAAATGGCTTGATACAACTATGAGAGATGGTTCCAGTTAGGTGCCCTAAGCTAGAGCAAGACAAAGTGAGGCTCAAAGTGAGATATCGTCTCATACCTCATCTACTCAGTCTCCTCCAGAAGATATTAAGAGGCACCCAGCAGTACCAGTTTCTCCGTCTGGCACTACAGACTAGGATATGCGGAGTGCAGTGCAGTTATTAACTATCTTGGTAGCTGCTTAGGCTCAGAGGCAGAATACTGGTGATGTTGATAAATTGGTTAGTACGAAAGTTTATAATTTTATTAATCTAGACCCTCTAGTGTTTATTGGATCAGACCCCAAGGAGGACCCGCAGACTTTTATTGATCAGGTTCATCGTACACTGCGGGTTATGCATGCTAGTGATATAGAGGCAATAAAGTTGGCTTCTTATCGGTTACGAGATTTGCGATTTTCTGGTATGATAGTTGGGAGAGGTCCAGAGGTCCGAACGCTCATCCAGCTGTGTGGAAGGTTTTTTATAAGGCCTTTCTTCGTTACTACTTGCTAGTTGAGATACGATGAGCCAGAGCTGATAAGTTCTTGAACCTTCAACAAGGTAATATGAGTGTGCGAGAGTATAGTATGTAGTTTGATTCTTTAGTAAGTTATCCTCCCTATATGGTGGTCGAGATGAGCAATAGGGTGTATTTGTTCAAGAATAGGTTGGGACCACATATGATAAATGAGTGCACGACAACCTCCTTGGTGGATGGCATAGATATTTCTCGTATTCGGGCTTATGCCCAAACCCTAGAGGATCGTAAGTGCCAGCAAATGGCAGATAGGGAGCAGGATAGGGGCCAACATAAGAGGGCAAGATTTATAGGGTATTCTGATGACTTCAGAGGCAGCGTCAGGCCCCAGTCTTCGAGGAGTTCGATGCCACCTATAGCTAGTGCTCCTTCACAGTTTTAGAGGCCTCGATATGATCGATTTTACCTATTCTTGTCTAGGTCAGATTTCGCAGTCATCAAGCTCGCATTATCAAAGGGATACTAGTCAGACGAGACCCTAACACCACATTGTGATCAGTGTGGCAAGGCCCACTTTGGACTGTGATGTTGAGGTTCTGATGCGTGTTATCCTTGTGGACAGCCTGGCCATACGATATAGGATTTTCCTAACAGAGGATGTGGTGGTATGGCTCAGCTGAGTAGATATGTGTCTGGTTCTTCCTCATTAGTTCGACCTCCAGCACATGGTTTTCAACAGTCGACAGGTCGTGGTAGAGGTATAGGTGCAGTGCCGAGTTCAAGTGGTGCTCAAAATCGAACATATGCTCTAGTAGGCCAACAGGATCTCGAGTCATCTTCGGATGTTGTTACAGGTATATTGTCTGTGTTTTCTTACAATGTATATGCGATGATTGATCTGGGATCTACATTATCATATGTTACTCCCTTTGTG